CACAGTCCCTGGGTTTTTATAAGATGGCTTGGCCCAGGGACCACTTAATGTAAGTGTTGGGCCCATAGGGTCCATGTGATGGGCTCAGGGGTTCACTGAGTTTTTCAGTGAATTCGGCTGGGCCGAACCCATGTGGCTGGTGTGTAGATTAATGTTTGGGTCCCACGCCATACAAAGAAGCCCAACTGGGCAGCAGATTGGAAACTAATTAAACACTGAATACTTAATGGGCCAAAAGCCCATTTCGAACTGGGCTGATATGATCACCCATATATGGGGCGAATCTGAGATTAATGTTAGTAAAAGGATTGGGCTTTTAACCTTATCCACTCTAGGAGACCAAATTCAAATTAGATTTGAATCTGATAACCTCCTGATAAGATCAGGAGTAAGCTAACTTAATCTGCAGATAGGATTAAGATAATCCCCAATCCAAATCAAGGATTGGGATAACTCCTAATTAGGAGGTTTCTTAATCAAGAAGAAAGGAGGAAAAACCTAAGGGAGATATATCAGATTTCGAACCAAGGGTTTTGGTAAGCAAGAAAGCTTCTTGCGAATAGAGATTGGATCTCATTCATACTCCAGAGGAAAAGAACAAAATTATTCTGTTTTCATCCTTGGAGTTCTCCTCCAGTTGTCGCCGCCATTGCTTCTCACAAGATTCGATCTTTGTAGAGGAAAGAAGTCAAGAAACCAGTTCTTGACATCAGTCTTGTAGAAAAGACTGAAGAGGATTCGGTGTTCAGAGTTTTCAGAGGATTCTTGCGAAGGATCCAGTGTGTAGGACGCACTCTGCTGGTTCCGTTCCACCCAACAGCTGTGTCATCTTCCGTAGGAGCGGATCTTGGTATTTTCTTTGGGTGTGAACACCAACTTTGGGAGATACTGCTTCTCCGGATCAGGTATATTCCTCCCTTTTGCTTTTGGTTCAAATCTGGTTTGATTATGGTTCAAGTAGGATCTTTGAATATTGTATTCTAAATTTAGGGAATACGATTCCTAGTTGAGAGAAGGTAGGAAAATTTTTGAAATTCGCCCATCCATTCCGCAACCTTTATGGCGTCCATTAGATGGATCCTACCATTCTTTCAGATCTGTCATGGGAGATTTGACTTAGGTCCAACTCAAACCGGTAGTACAGGGGTGTCAATTGGATTGGATTTGGTCCAACCTAATAATTATATCAGACTGTTCAAATCTGATTTGATTAGCTTCGGTTCAAATTGGATCCAATCCAAAATCGGTCCATTGGCACCCTTAGGCTATGTTTAGTTTGAAGGAAAATGTAGAGAAAGGAAGGAAAAGGTAGAGAAACCTTTGCAAACCTTGTATTGGTTTCCCTGTCTTTCTCTTCCTTTCCCTACCTTTTCCTTCAAACCAAACATAGCCTTAGTATTTGGTGCCATTGCTGTTTCTACCGAAACTGTTTTGGGTTGATCAATATAAACTAGAAGAAATTTGTTATTTGAGACTTCATAAAATACAATAAACATAAATGCATGTGTGAGAGAGTGCTTGTAGAAACATCAAACTGGTGTTTCTTGCTCTAGGGGTTGAACTTTGACAATTCTTGCTGAAGTAACTCTCACATACAATGTGACAATTATAAGGATGTCAATGAACCAGTTTGGGTTGGGCCCTGTCTAAATCCAAATTAATTTGGACTAATTGAATAGATCAAATAAGACATATTAAATTGAATCAGTACAAACTTAATTGTCTAAAGTATTTATTGGATTGGATTAGACAAGGCCCATTCATAATGGAATTATATTGGATTGGGTAATATTGAATCAATATCTGATCCACTAATAGAAGATAAAGAATATAGTAAACCAATCTAAATTAAACTGGTCCAAAATAATTCTGAGTATTTATTAGATTGTATTGAACCTGCTCTATCTACCGTGGATTCATATTAGATGGGACCGGATTGGACCAATTCCGGTACAACTGACACATAAAAGTGATACATATCTCTCACCCAAGAGGAATGAATACTTCACCAAGGTTACAGGACACCAACTTTGATTTTCACTTTATTTATTGTTTGTAGTCACGTCTCACTTTTAATTTACTTTTAATTTGATGTGATATCATCGTAAGAGTTCACATCATTGCCCAACGGCGCATCCTATTGGAAATATTTCCTAATGAAGGAGATATTCCCAATTCATGCTGAGATATGTATGTGTGGCGCTGATGTGATTTCATTGATTGATGCTAATGTGACTAACATGTGCCCTGCGTTAAGAAGAAAAATTATGATTGGATTCATCTGGGTGAGTGACTCGGTTTTTATCACAGCACACGTGAAGACACATTACCCAAAACTCTAAAAATATGTTTGACTATGATATATAGGAGAAAAATATGATATCGAAAAATTTCAAAACAATGAACTGGTCAATCAAAGATCTACAGGTATCGTCATATATTTCTGGTGGCATAGATTTTTATGCTTTTGAGTTTACTTCCTTTTCCCTTAGATCCATCAACGCATCAAGCTTAAGATTTGTGACCTATGGTGATTGGATCGAGTAGTTAATTCACAGTAAGGCGTGTATCAAAAGCAAGGAACTGTTTCAGTGTTTCTGTTTTGTGTGACAGAGACAGACTCGCAGACAAATAAATCTATTGAAAATTCTTTTATATGCACAATTACTGGTGAAATCCACCAGCAAGACTACACTAGAAATGAAGTTCAATTCCAACACGTCTCTAGTAAAGACCCAGAGCCATGATTAGGATTGCACCTTTAATTTGTCTGTTCCTAATATGGGCAGAGATTGAGATTTCCGTTCATGATAATTGCTGCATGTTAGCTTGATTGGTAGATAGTAGTTCACGTTTGATTGGTAGATAGCTGTTGAGAGCGTTTCTGGGAATGCCAGCGATGACAGACTGACAGTAGGTAAATTAGTAACTGTAGCCCACTGCCCACGTATATTCCTTATCTCGTGTTACCCTTCCTTTCTGTGAAAGAAAACAATAATCCCTCTCCAGCTCTCCTCCCTTCCCTCACAAGAATGATTTTTGAGCAAAAGATATGGCTCAGTGATGGTGGAATCTCTGTACGTCCTTCTTGAGGCAAGGAGCTTGTAGGTGAGGTTAAATTCTCACTTCATGGTTGTTGTCATAAGAAGCTTTGAAAATATAAAGATGGAGATTGGGTGTCACACCTAAGAACTTGATGTATGAGCAGAAAGGGTTAATGAAATTAAATTTGTTGGGTCTCTGTAGAAGTAATGAAAATAGAATTTGTTGATCACCATGAAGCTTTGAAGCATTGGTAGAGATGGATGCTTGAACGAGGGATCACCTGAAATATAAAAAAGGACTATTGCGCAATAAATATCACACGCAAAAGAATGCTCACATGAAAGTGGGAAGACGTCAAGAGTTCTATTTGATCTAACGCAATAGCCACAGCATGGAGGCTACAGCAGATCCGGAAAAACAATGGTGAATATACATACCCAGAAAAACAATGGGATTGAGGCGAAATGCTTGTCTATCAATAATACAAAACCAAGGCCATTTTATTTTTGATGCAAAATCTTTGCCAGATCGAATTACATTAAACTACTAACATTTTAGTTTTAAAGCGATCAGGTTCAAATCCAGCAGAGCTGATCATGGAGAAGTCCTGATCGGGATCCCATCTGCTTGCTTACCTAGGTGAGACATTAGAAACAGTTACCTCATTAACTGAACAGAATTGAGCAGTTTCTGAAGATTGCTTTGATGCACCAACAGTATTTCGGCCCACAGAAAATGCAGGTTGTGTAGGCCTGGGAAGAGTTGTGGAGTCGCTTCTCAACATAAGAACCACAGATGACATTGCGGGTCTGTCTGCTGCATCCTCTTGAACACACAATAATCCTACGTGAATACATTTTATTACTTCATTTGGTGCACATGCGCCAACCAGTAATGGATCCATGAATTCCAAGCCTTTACTCTCACTCCAGAGTCTCCATGCCTACAGTTTCAGTTCATCGTCTTTTTTATTTTATTTTTTCATTTGTTAAAATGAATGTTCAACCATGAAGATAAGTTGTTTGAATGCAAAAGCTTACATATGTGAGGAGGCTCTGAGCATGCTCTGAGAGATGGAAGCCGCTATTTCTTTTCCCACTTACAATCTCAAGCAGAATAACTCCAAAGCTGAAAACATCAGACTTCACAGAGAACAGTCCTTCCATAGCATACTCTGGGGCCATGTAGCCGCTGTTTAAAATCAATTTAACAACTCGATTAATTGAATAAAATTAATGAAATTTTTTAATGTGACCTTTCTTAGCTTTGAGTCAGTCCTAACCAAGGCAAACTGACAGAAACTTTAATTAAAGACCTTAATTACATTGATGTAGGTCCCATCCTTCCGGGACAGTGTTGGTTAATTACAAGCATACCTAATATAATCTCTTAAATTCTTCAAGACATATCATGTAGATAATGATTTTCAAATAGAATACATACACATGGACCTCTTTGTGGATCCCATTTTGCACCTTAGGATAAGGGATGATGGGCCAATTGTAGTACGATAAAGGGCTGAGCCTAGGCCAGGCTTAGCACCAATAATTAGGACGAAAGCCTGGGCCTGGCCCAGGATTCTGGGCTTATAACTTGAAATATATTATATTAAATAATATTTATTTTGGTGACAGATAACATATGCATAAAATATAAAATATAATTTATATATTTTCTTGAGGCAAATTATACTTTAATATATAGTATTATGCAATATATTATACGTGTTATATCATAAAATTTATATACATTTATAACATGCACACAACATATATTGAAAGCTTGGCTAGGCTGGGCAAGAAATGATCACCCTATTATGCATTATCCATATCAGCGGGGACCCGTGCAATGTACAGATTTGTTCAAATAAAAGCTAAATAATATATATATATATATATATAAAATTGTTTTATATTTTAATTTTTTAAATAATAAATAATTATTTATATTTTATACATTATTTTAATAATGTATTTTACAATGCAAAAAACAACAATAATGAATTTCAACTAGAAAAGAATAGGGTCTCTCTGAAAAATGAATGGTCATGCCTTAAACTTTACTCTGTCCTCATCACTTGTCAACCGTAGGGCATGACTTGAGCAGAACTGGCCAAATCCAGACCCTCATGCTCATCTTGAAAGGAGTATAAATATAAATATGTACAATATAATTGATCGGATCTTAACTGACTTGGTTCTTAACCGGCTTCAAATAGTGAATCCATTAATGGACATTAGATTATAGAGAAATTGCATATATTGTGAGGTCCAAAAAACCCGGTTCAAAAATTGATTGGATCATCACTGTTTTGGGAATTGGGATTCTTTTAGGTTAAGGACTTCTGTGAGGATATAGACCAGCTGACTATGAATATGGATCATGCCAGATTTAGGGCTGTTAATGGGTTGGGTCTATAAGATGGATTTTATCTGACTGAATGATTATAACAGTTCTGGTTCTATGATTTTGTTCCCATTAATAATTGGGTAAGTTTTAGTTCTTATCTGTCTCAAACCGATTCATATCCAGAACCAGTTATTTTATTAAATATATAATCTTTTTTATTTTTTTATAATTTTTATCATATTTTTATAAAAATGATAAATTTAATAGATAATAAATATGACAATAATATTGGTTAAAAATGTTTAACTTATTAACATATAAATAATGTAGTATTTTACTATCATTTTTATTAAGGTTATATTGTCAAAATTAAAAACTTAAGTTATTATTTAAATAAACAAATATAATTTCCAATATAATCGGGTCTGTTGGATCCAAACCGGATAGACCCAACTATTAACTGGGATGGTTCTAAATGTATTATTTTGTTCCCAATTAATAATTGATTCTACCAATGCCCAACCAATTGACAATCTTATTTAGATTTTGGGCAGCCTGGTCAGCTCCATTTCGATGTCCAACTCGTCAAGGGGTGATCATTTCTAGCCATGCCCTATCCGCAAATTTTTGTGTGCATATATCAGTGGTTCGAGCCCTCTTTAGAAACCAAGTCCAGGGCTTCCTCTGCTTTGCCTTTTGAAAGGAAACTAGAATTCTTTATCATAAGGGTGTGTTTGGTTTGATAAAAAATAAGAGAAAACCAGAAAATTGAGCGGAAGTTGTTGATGAATTTCACAAAAAATCCTGAAGAACATTCCCTCAACTTTCTATTTCTTTCAAATCAAGCATAGTCTAAGAAAAATGAATAGGGTAGTTTGACTATTTCTGATCAATTTTTTGCGTTATCTGTTTTTTCTTTAATAAATTTTATTTTATTATAAAGAAAGAAGAGAGAAAAGAATAGGAAGAAATAGACATACTATGTACCCACGACTCTGTTGGTATTAGCTTGACTTTGATTTCCACCGAATATTCTTGCCATTCCAAAGTCAGATATTTTTGGGTTCATATCATTGTCAAGCAAAACATTACTTGCTTTCAGGTCCCTGTGAATAATTCTAAGTCGAGAGTCTTCGTGCAAGTACAGAAGCCCCCGAGCAATTCCACTGATAATACTAAATCTCAGCTTCCAGTCCAACTGAACGCGTTTTGTAGGATCTAAGAAAAAAAAACATAATACGTTATCATTTAGAACATTTAAAAAGAATCGTTGAAAATATTAATTGAAAGAAAGAAAAGCAATCATCAAGGACTGAATCAAACCGAAGAGGAAGACGTCAAGGCTGGTATTCGGCATGTATTCGTAGACAAGAAGCTTTTCATTCTTCTCTATGCAACAGCCCAACAGCCTCACCAGATTCCTATGTTGTAGCTTGGCAATTAAAACAACTTCGTTCTTGAATTCCACTAATCCTTGTCCGGAATTTCTTGAGAGCCTCTTAACTGCTATTTCTTTTCCATCTGGTAGGACTCCCTGAAAGTTAATTAAATCCATGCACAGTTATAGAATATCAATTATATTAAAAGAAATAAAAAATAAAAAAGGGTCGGGCTATCTGCTATCTGAGGCCGGAACCCCACTTGACAATTCCTGTAATTACCCTGTAAACGGGGCCAAACCCTCCTTCTCCAAGCTTATTTGACTCAATGAAGTTGTTTGTAGCTGTCTGTACGCTATGTAAAGAGATCAAAGGAAAATCTTGAGATTCCATTTGATTCCTTGTCTCTGTATATCCTTCAGAGAATTTTGTGCCAGCTCCTACCCCGAAGTCAAGTAATGAAACTTCTTGACTGATTTCCTTCTTGCCTGAATCAAAAAGAAGTTTGTTCATGAGATGGTTCAGCATCATCTACAAATGCTTCCTCTGTCCCAATTTTCACCTTTTTGAGTTCCCTTCTTCTTCTTCCATAAATAGTAGATACATGAACTCAATAGAACAACGCCGAGAAATGTTGATACGCCTATAATGATTACATTACGTCGCCATGAGTATGACTTCCTTTCTTTCACCGGATCTGGAAAGGAGTTACAATTTATTAGACCTTTTTTTCTTCTGGAAAAACAGGTGACCAATTATATATAAATTTGTCGAGAATATTTCCGTTCAGGAGGAGTTATTAATTAGTGTCCATAGACTCACCAACTCGAAACACTTACCGTTGATGAGGGTTGTATTGGTTGGAGGAGGGATAGAAACAGGAGCCGGTGCTTTAGCAGAAGCATTGGGCATCCTGTAAAACGGGTATATCTCATACCTTACATAACAATTCTGTCCGATAACCCTTCCCCCTTGCTTCCCATCGCAGCATATTGGAATATAACTGATAGCAGTTAGAAGACACGTATTACAGTCGTTTCTTGATAAATCGGAAGTGCACTGCGCAAGGCCATATATGCTCCGAAACTCGGTAAAATTAACTTCTCCGGTTGCAAACATGCGGGCTGCAGGATCAAAAGCAGCTCGAGTAGTAAGTTGATTAAGCATATTTTCCAATTGCTGATTGAATCCATCTGTCTCGGATACATTCTGGGTATTCCACATATAAAACGACGGTGAATCCAAGATGGAGAAGAAAGGGGTATCTGAGTATCGTACAAAGCATTCGTCAAACCATATAGTAGCTCGTTTCCGACCTGGGCACTTCTCTATAATTTGGTGGCTTGCAACGTCGATGCAACTCGGGCAAAGATCAGAAGCAACATCGCCTCTGCAAAGAAAAAGGCCATAGACTTTGTCCGGGTTTTCTCCAATAGTCGTGCTATTGAAGCCCAACACGCCCTCATTATATAGTGTTCGAAAGAGGAGAACATTCAGATTTGTTTGGAATCTTCCGTAGGGAGTGAAGCTGGGTGTGTTATTTGAACAAATTGAGTAGAGGAAGTTACCAATATTGGTTTCTCCAGAGGTGCGGAACATTAAAAGAAATGAAGAAAGTACGAGGAAGAACTGAAATGTTCTTGAAGCTGGGAGAAAAAGAGAAAGCATCATCTCTCTCGCTCCTGTCTTTTTCCAACTTTTGAAGAACCAGAGTGTAACTAGAGGAGGGATGGAAAGGTATTCCTTAAATCCATTTTGGCAGCAGATTCATCAACTGATTTCTACGAGATCGATCAGCTATAGAGGGTCATAAGTGAATTCGGACTTGGTCCTCACAAACCGTACTAACAGCTCTATTTTTCAATGGGTTATATCAGATAAGGGCAACTTTTTGCCCTGAATATCAATAAAAAGTAATATTTTTATAAAACAATTAAAACAGGGTAATTTTTCTAGAAAAATATCATAAAAAGGACAATAATACTGTTCATCATCTTCTTTTACTGCTCTCTTAAGAGGAAGTTGCTCTCTCCAAAACCAGTTAGGAAATCCAAGTTCCTCAGTCTTGAAAGTAAACTTGTACCGGAATAATAACCGGAATCCTGCGAAATGAGCCATCCTCAACTCAACCTTTTCCATTACACCGAGAAAATCTCTTACAAGAGAAACACGTTCCTGATCAAGACAACGTGAATTATTTCTTCCACGGCGGAGGCGGAGCAACCTTGAACGGTCTCCTTGGCGGGTGTGCCGGGGATGGGAGTAGCGTGGTGTTGTCCTCTAATGAGGACTCCTTGTGCTCGTCAAAAATATATCTGTAGCGGGTGTGGCGGGAGTAGCGTTGTGCTCGTCAAAAATTTTCCGAATCTCAACACCGCCGGATTCATCGTCTTCTTTAATTAGACGTGAATAAATCCGACGTGTTGGATTATCCACTGCAAATCTGTAGTTAGTAAAGTAGTAAAAGGTCCATATAAGCAGGACTCAGGAGTCAGGAGGAAATGCTATTAATTAGGTGTGTGGTACTCTAATACCGACGATGTCCGGAGAAATTGCACTTTTAGCGTAGTTACAACAATCATGTAATAGGAATATGGATCGGCCACTGTTCCATCAGCGACAGACATGATTTTTTTTTTTTTTTGGTTACAATCAGAACTCTGCAACTAAAAGGGCATCCATCCATCCGGTCTTGCTCTCATCTTGCAGACGCGGATAGAGTCGTTCCATCCATCACTTATTCACTCATAGTCATGGTCTCATGGATAATGTAAGGGGTTTCTAGCAGATAAGGGCAACTTTTTGCCCTTATTCAGGGCAAAAATATCATTCCATCGTCTTCCTCTTCAAAGTGCAGCAGAGAAAGACGATGAACAGTATTACTGCTTTTTTTTATATTTTTCTTACCCTGTTTTAATTATTTTATAAAATTATTACTTTTTATTGATATTCAGGGTAAAAAATTGCCCTTATCTGATATAACCCCTTTTTCAATTCGTATTTCCTATTAACCCTATTCTGCTGCCTTTCCTACTAACCCAATCACTTGGTGACAATTGTCTCATTTTCATGTGACCTCAATCCTACGTGCAACAATTTACACGTGAGATATCTTCCCCTCCTACCCCCTTCTAGCGCTGGTTCAACTCCGTCTGGTTGGAAATCCAATCCCCCTCCTCCCCCTCTAGTTCAACAGTGTTCCAATAGCAAAAGTTGATAATTGTCATCATCGGCCACAAATCGACAATCTAATTAAGATCTACTTCAAAGAGAAAACACAGCCCCGAAACCATAGTTGTAAATTTCAGCTCGCCATACACAAATTCAGACTGATCTTGTTCATCAGAAATATATGCAAGTACCGGACCAACTGATATGCAATCGTCCAGAACTGATAACATGTAAAATTCATACCTCTGCGTGAAGTTTCTTGTTCTGCGCTTGGAGAGCATCATTGTCCGCTTCGACTGCCTCAAACTGTCTTTTTAATAGGAAATACGGATTGTTATTTTTTGTGTATTTTTTTTCCAATGGAAAATTATTCCCAATGCACAGGCCACTAGACCTGCTCATGGCCGGACCGGGTCGGATTCGGGCCAGACTTTGCCTTTTTATAACAGAAAATCATCAGCCCGAGCCCTATCGGGCCTGAGCTCGAAGTTTGAGTTTGACATGTATTTTATAATATAATAATTATATATTATTAATAATGTATTACTTATTATATAATATTTTAAACATTTAATATATATAATACTTTTTTATTATCTATTTTACTATTATATATTATTAAGATATATATAATATTATCAGGTTGGACTTATTTGGAAAAGCACGAATCTGACCCAAAAAATAATTGAGCCTCAACCCAAGACCACAAACTTAAAATTTTGTCTGTTGGCTACCCGGCCCATGAAGGCCCATGAACAAGTTTTATTTGCAACTGACTAATTGGCATTTGGTAAGGTGTCTTATTAATTGTAATGTCGACTTGGGATTGAATCCCACCCACACCAGCGTTGAAAAACTGACATTTTTATTTGATGTGTTTACATTTAACTATTGATGACTTCCGATCATTTTAGCAATAGAATTATTTTGTTGTCCAGGCAATCACATTGGTGTCACATATATTATTAGACTTTATCAAATCATAATCCTATTTAATTGGGCTGATCAAAATATAAATAGAAGTGTTATGTAGACATTTTATCCTATGTGGCATCTAGTATATAACACCCAGTGGAGTTTTATGTGTAATAAAAAACCACGAACCAAACACCCACTAACTGACAAATCTAATTCATTTTAGGTATCAAAATCTGTAAAGTCTATGGAGTAAGGGATGCAATACTAATTCTGTTTCAGGATAAAGGGTAACATTTTTGAACTAATAAGGGGATGTTTTGTTTGGGGAAAATTTTCACTGACCACTTCCGTCCAAGAGAGCATAGTGTATTGCCATTCCCCACGATTAATTTATTCTTTTATTTTATTTTAGGAATATTATCCAAATCTCACTATGACTTTTTACATTTCTCTTAAATTCATCGTAACTTTTAAAAAAGCTCGAAATAGCTCCCTTGTCTTGTGAGTTTTAGTGATTATTAATAGAAAGATGTCCACATAAGTAATGAAGTATTTTGCATGATCAAACTATCCTTGAATAATCAAGTTTATTATATTAAATATATGCGGGGTTGGGCCTACTGTGGATCGAAGCTCGATTAGGGGTAATTTAATAATAAAAATATTTAATAAAGATGGTTAGTGTTAACATCCGATTTTTGCTTAGTTCCTTCTTTGACCCATCTCTTACATTCCAAATGCCCGATGAACCACACCAACTGCTTAAAAACATGCCAAAATCCTAAGAAACCAAATTTTAGCCCAAATGCCCATAAATCTACTGTTAAATTGACATGGTTATTCCCTCCCAATGGTCTTGATTATGCCACATCACCATACTTGATCCCCAATCAAACTCCATCACATGAAACAAAATCCTTAAATAACCAATCACATAAAATTTCAACCTTAAGTTCCTGGATTTAACAAATCATCCATCAAAGATTCCATTTCAATGTGTATAACACTACAGTGCTCCTCAAACCTAAAACCTATGATCTGCACATACCTAACACGATCAAACCCTTCCAACAGCCTCATAATCCCAATTCATACATACCCACTAAATTTTATTACAAAATTCCCTTGTTTGACCCAATATCAAGCCTTAATTCTATTTTAACGAATCTTATTGATCAAAAGCTCACATGTGATGAATCTCTATCATCCAAGCCTTATTTGACCAATAAAACCATGCCACCATGTTCAGATACCCAAAAAAAAAACCCTAATACATCAAACTATATGTCCTAATTCACCCATTTGACCATTAAACTAGGAAGATGCTATTTTGATGCATTAGATTGAATTGCCACATCAGCTGCCCAACCTAGGATCTTAAGAGAGTGGGGACTGACGTCAACTCTATACTTGACCCCATTAAAACACTTGGGGCTGCCACTGTTAGCTCTAAATATACGTTTTTTGCCACTGTCAGCCCCAAATATGGGGCTACAACGTCTAGCATGCCCCAATCCCTCATTAGATGCATGAAATCCATAAGAAGCCTTCTAAACTCAAGAAAATTTATTGCACAAAGAAAAGAGGTTCAATTGCAAGTCATTCTCTCTTAAAATCTTTTATCTATTTTAGTGAAAGAGCTCTATTGAATTATAAACACTATAACTAGACGAATTTCAAACTCATCTCCTTCCCTTTTCCTCTATAAATAGAGGCCTAACTCGAGCTTGAGGAGGAGATGAGAGGAGTAGTTTCCCAACTTTTGTAATACAACCATTCTGCTTAAAATCCCAAAATCCCTAAAGCCAAATTCAAGCCTCATCCCCTGTTTTCCAAACTTAACGCTAGAAACAATCAGCCTAGTTCTGTATCTCGCTCAAGTTTCATTTAAAGTCCTTTTAACTATAGGAAAGTTTGTTTCAAGGTCGCATACAAGAGCTAAGCCTCTCATTTCACCATCTCTCTACTTTTAGTTTAGTTTAAAATTGCTTAAAGTCTTAAAACCAACGCTTTCGAACCGTCGTTGACTTGGACGGTCGGACTGTTTGGACTGGAAACTGTTCACTCGAACGGTTCTGGGTTTACCTCGAACCATCATCTTATGGAAAAACGTTGAAAGAGTAAAAAAAATGTCAACTCGATCGGTCGAACCGTCGACCCATTCGACCTGGCCAACGGTTAGCGGTTCGATATTTTATAAATTTTGTTTTTTAATTTTAAAATAAAAATAAAACAAAAAATAAAATACCTAACATATCCTTCAAAACTCGAAACTCAAAAGACTTAGGGAGTTAGGGTTTTGACATTTTTTTTTGCCAAATGCCCAAACCCAAAACCAAACTCTGAACTTTGTAGATTGAAGTTGTAGCGGCGATAGGCGTTCACCTAAGATGACGGCGGCGATACACCGATGCCACCCTTCCCAAAATCCGCACAATCACTCGTCGGTCACCAAGGTTGCACCGACATTCGATGACTAAAGCTTCACTGCAGCTTCTGGGAAACATTGTGAAACCAAAAGGTTTCACTCTTAGGAACGGCTCCGGTGGCTATTTTCATTGTGGCTATTGGTGAACACTGTGGACTCCAACCTCCGGTGACTACTATTGCGGCTGCCGGTGAACATTGTGATTTTTTAACTTTTTAATTTTTTATATCTCATTTAGCCATTTCAAATTTTCAATGATTTTTAATTAACTCTTTTTTTTTGCAATATTATGACTTTTCAAAGAACCGAACCACCATTTGCATTGGTGACCATTCCATTGGAGTCGAGAGCAACTGTAGAATCTGAGATTGAGGCATCCCCTGTTTTTCAATTTTGATTTGAAGCTTAAACTAGTATATTTCTTTCTTATTTGGATTTGGCATTTTTGCTAAGATAACTGGAGTCTGGAAAACCGAAAAAGTATGCTCCATCATATACTGTTCTGTTGGATTTTTTGGCTACCTACTATTTGGTGACTCAATCATGTTTGATATACTTGTCAATTTCGATCAAAATTCTGGTTCCACGATTAGTTCATTGCTTAATGACACAGTCTGCTTAA